AGACTCGAGGGTCTGTCTCCAAACCTCCAATCTCTCGTCAACACCGACCCTCGTCTCATCAATAAGTACTATGTCATCAGCAAATAACATATACCATGGCACACCCCCTTGAATATGGTGTGTCAATGCATCCATCACCAAGGCAAATAAGAACGGGCTAAGCGCAGAGCCTTGGTGTAATCCCATAACAACCGGAAAATGCTCCAAGTCGCCTCCCACAGTTCTAACTTTAGTCTTAGCTCCATCGTACATGTCCTTGATTGCTCTTATGTAGGCTACCGGCACGCCCTTTGCCTCAAGACATCTCCAAAGCACCTCCCTAGGGACCTTGTCATACGCTTTCTCCAAGTCAATAAACACCATGTGCAGATTCTTCTTCCTATCCTTGTACTGTTCCACCAACTTCCTAATAAGGTGGATAGCTTCAGTAGTGGAGCGACCCGGCATGAACCCAAACTGATTGTCGGATATAGACGTCGTCTTCCTCACCCTCACCTCCACCACCCTCTCCCAGACTTTCATGGTATGGCTAAGTAACTTGATACCCCTATAATTGTTACAACACTGGATATCACCTTTGTTCTTGTACAACGGTACCACTGTACTTGACCTCCACTCCTCCGGTATCCTCTTCGTCCTNCTCCTCTGGCATCCTCTTCGTCCTAAAAATTACATTGAACAACCCAGTCAACCACTCCAATCCTGCTCTACCCACACACTTCCAAAACTCAACCGGGATTTCATCTGGNAAGCCCGGTCGCTCTACCCCTACTCATCTTGCGCAAAACCCCCACGACCTCCTCCACCTTAATGCGCCTGCAATACCTAAAATCTCGGAGACTTTCCGAATGCCCCAAGTCCCCTAGCGCTATATCCCGGTCCCCCTCCTTGTTCAGAAGACCATAGAAGTACGTCTGCCATCTCTGCTCAATCTGGGACTCTCCCATCAATACTCTACCATCCTCGTCTTTGATGCACCTTACTTGGTCCAGATCCCGGGCCTTCCTCTCCCTCGCTTTAGCCAACCGAAACAACTTCCTGTCCCCGCCTTTCTCCCCCAATTCCTCGTATAGGCAGCCAAACGCTGCATTCTTAGCCTCCGTGACCGCCAGCTTTGCCTCCTTCCTTGCCACCTTGTACCTCTTTCTATTCGCTCTCCTTTCCTGCTCGCTTGTACTCCCTGCCAACTTCGCGTATGCTACCTTCTTCGCCTCCACTTTACCTTGGACTACGTCATTCCACCACCAGTCGCATATAGGATTTAGATGTTGCCAATATTTTGGGCTATAGGCGCCAATGCCAATAGTTGGCTAAATGGCTGCCAATTGCTCTTTAGAGTTGTATATAGGTGTCAATTTCCCAAAAAAGATCAGGTATAGCCAGCTGTAATCTGAAGCAAATCCAATATCACAAAACAAGAAAATAATGAATAAAACGGTAGAGGCAAAGTAGGACACTGAAGAAAGATACAAAAGGATAAAGAAGAGCATAATGTATAGGAAAGACAGAATACACTAACAAGATCCCTGTTTATCAAACCCGACCCCAACCCGTCATGAATCAGATGCAATCCACAGGGACCTTAATTATCATGCACCCCCTCCTAATCAAATTAAACATATTAGTCAGAGCAGCCTTCCCTTCTCGGTAATGTCCCATTTCTATCTTAAGTTGGTTAAAACATACCTTTATTTAGTCAGCTAGCTGGTTGACCAAATTAAAATAATGAACAGTACACTAAATTTCTAAAATTGTAACGGAAGGAAGTAGATGTGGTGAAATTGGTAAAATGGGTGACAAACAAGCAGACTAGATTAGAGAGCTGGAAGTCCAGATTCTCCAAAGCTACTTTAAGAGCTAAGGGAGAGAACACATGGTAAAATATGCAGGAAAACATGACAACTAAGAGGTGGCTAAGATAAGCAGCAATAAAGTACACCAATACCCAGGCATATTATCAAAACATCTATTAAAAAGTGCACAACCCTAGCCCTTGAAAAGGACAAACTTTGTCCTCGGGCTTCTTAATGTTACCATTCATCCTCTCTCTGCCCAACCCACAAAATCTCTTTACCTTGTTCGCATCTCCTAAGCAGGGTTTAACATGATCATAACCTTTACTCGTGATTCGTGAAAAGTATGGTATTCATTCAATAGCTTATACCAATAAATGCAATAAGATTCTCAGTACATTAACCTAAATTAAGAATAACAACTAACAAAGAATCACAAAACTAGTCAAAATACACCTTGCACCCCATCTGTTTTTAACAGTCACTATTTAGACTGTGTACGATAACTTTTCTTTGACCAAGATTTCCTTAACTGTTGTTATACATATTTTTAATATTTAGAAGTCCAGCTTAACTTAGTTTCTGAATAAAGATTTGATTTTTCATAAAACAAACGAAGCCAAGTCCAAATTTAAGCAATGGAACCCAGAGGCGGATCCAGGATTTAAATTATATGGGTTCAATTTTAATATTTTTAACATTGAACCCATTATAATATGGGTTCATATCTACTATTTTTGCAATTTTAGTAAATTTTTACATACAAATTTTGACTCCGCATCGAAAGTTATGGGTTCAGTTGAACCCGTAAGTTATACACTACATCCGCCTCTGATGGAACCGAAAAAAATACTTTCTACTACAAAGTAGCTAAACTAACCTGTTCAATGTTGTACCCAGGGCTAGGATCATTGGACAGAGTAAGAACCCTAGCAAACCTATCCAAGCAATTCCCCACAGCAATATCAATCGTCTCCCCGAAAATCCTATACCTTCCCTCACTATACGCAATAACCTGAGTATTTCCCCCACTCACATACAACACAACCGGATCATCAGCCCCGGTTACAATCCGACCCATTTCAATATGGGCCACACAATGGTTTACCCCAACGATAGGTTTCTTCCACAGCTGAGATAACACGCGCACTACCACCGCCGCAACCTGCAGCGGCGCACCCATGCCGGGGCCTTTCGTATAGCAGAGACAGTCTATTTCGTCCGGAGTTACTCCGGCGGTTTCTAGGGCGGATTTTATTAAGGGTAGCACGTGTTGGTGGTGGTGCTGCGCGGTTTCACGCGGGAGAAAACCGTGGCCCGGCGGCGTAATGTAAGTGTGCCGTGGATTTGAGAGGATTGTGCCATCGAGTGCTACTACTCCTACGCCGATTTTGTTGGCGGAACCCTCGAACCCTAAGGCTATCAATTTCTTCTCTTTCATTTCTGAATGGAAAACAACGCCGCCGCCGGAGGATTGAGGTTTAGTAGTGAAACGAGCAGTGACGACAAGGGTTTAGAGCGAGGGAGTGGTTGTTCGTTGTTGTATTTGAAATATATGAATTTACAAATCAGTACCACGGTTTTCAGAGTCTCATATTTGACCCCCTTAATTTTGGATTTTTAACGCTTCGTACGAGTACTTTTTATGTTATACGGAGTTGCGGACTAGCAATTACTAAACAAACTAATTGATGTGTAGTTGTAGGAATTTTAATCAAGTCTTAAAAAGATTGTATTCTATGTAAATTCCTCTTTTCAAAAGGATTGTCCCAGTTCAACTTCGGATGTTAAATCTGTCTTGCTTTATTGTTTAAGACTATTTTGCAACTAGGAGTAAGAGAAAAATACATCTGTTTTTTTTTCCCCAAAATTATTTACTTGGTGCCATTTTCCTGTAAAGTGGAGAGCGTTTAAGCTGAACATTGAGAGATTTGGTTAATTTGACCTATCAAACATTGGTTACTTCGACCTATCAAACACCAATCCTTTTCTCCTCCCGGGTCTGGAAAATTGTCAAAAACTTTTAGATTCAACGAAGATTAGTCAAATAAACCGTTCCTGATGACACATATGAACTGCATACCCATGTTGCAGCCATTTCATAGACAAATTCATTTAGAGGGCTTTTTATTTCGTTTCTTGGCATTCTTCACAAGAGCATCACAAATCTCCTTTTTTCTTTTGGAGGCAGCACTGATATTAGGATTTGTAACAGCTAGATTGACCGAGTTACTGTTGTCACCTTTGCTTGTAATCTTGCCCTGAACTTCTAATGCATCCTTGACGAAAAATTTTAGCCTCCACAATGTCAATTCACTCTGCAGAAACCACAAAAAGAACTTTTTAAAATATGCAAGAGCCGTATATAAGATTCTTGAAAAGGGGATATGATTAAAGTCTCGTGAAAACCTGAGCATCAATGTCAAGTTCCACCTCTTCTGCCGAGGCTGGAAATAGTGGATTATTTTGCGCTACTATCTCCAGCGCCTTACTAAGATCTTCAGGAGATAACTTCGTGAGAGCTATTCCTAGATTTCTCTTCTCCTCTATTGATATTTTTCTGAAGTTGCCATACACGAGGGAAAAAACAAAATGTTAAACTTGGCCACACAAGGAAACCAGTGTACAGAAAAAGATTTGAGCATGAAGAGAGCACTCCAGATGAATTGTGCCTAAAGACGAAATGTCTTTCTTTCCATTTTGGAGGTTATGTAGAACAGACATCCAGCACCAAACATCTCATGAATTCAAGATAGAGAGACAGATAAGTTGGTAAGATCAACCCAATGCTAATAAAAAAGAGATGCTAGAACCTTTCTACTGACCAAGAAAAAGACAACGAAAAGGTGAATTTAAACCAACATTCAAATTGGAAGAGGGGTTCACTCTTTACCAGAAAGTTAAGTTAGCAATTGGCCTCAAAGATGAAACAGTACTCAAACAAGATAAAAAGAATCAATCAGAATCCCATCTCAACAAGTCATTCAAGCTGTTGATCTGCAAATTCTGTTGCCAGCCCAAAACTACCTATTGTAAGTTCAGCACCAAGAGAAACATATCCAAGTTGACCGAGGAGAACTATATCATGTGCAGTCAGAAACAATCAGTTGGCACAAGAAGATTAACCTAAGCCCAATTCACAAATTAATACGAATTTATCAGTGTCAGCTTTAAACGAGATTCAAACAATTGTTGTACTTCACATCTCCCAGGAAGTTTCCACGAAAGTACTAGTGGAGCAACAAAGGCGAAAAGGAACCTGCACTAGAGAAGCCCCTGGCATCAAAGGATCAGTTTAGATGGCTAAAGAAGGAAAGATTATTGATAATACTGCAAGGGAGACGATTGCCATGCTTGCCTTGGTTTTGGCCACGCATAATAGGCTGGCCAGGCTTGTATGGTTTCGAAATTAATGAGGAATGCACTTATCATAAAATTACTGCATCTATTTCCATCTGTCAATTTCAGGAGCTTCTATACTTGCATACCCAGAAAAGTTCAAGATTTCAAATGAAATTCAAATTTAGTTAGTCCAGAATATAAGCAACTTGGCCCACTGGATAGCAAACAAGTCAAGGTGACCGTGTCTCACTCATACTGGATATATCTGGGAAAAATTAACCATTTTTTCTAAAATGAGACAGGTATACCTCTTATTGGTTTCCAAGTTTGGGAATCTCATGTTCTAACTGAGTACTTGTTACGTAGCTACTCCCAATGGAGTTTTATAACAAACTATACTGGATCTTCAGCTTAAAGACTTTTACCAATATTTTTCCTCTGCGTGATGCTATCACCGATGGCAGGGTGAGGTGTTGAGAACTATGGCTGGCTCAAGGGACTCTTATCCAGAACATAAGACTGTTATCTGTTTCCGGAATCATCGATTCAGTTTGCCCCTGATAGTAACCTTGCTCACACTAGCTTTTAGCAGTAAATTTTAGATGTAGCCTTGTACTCATGCAACTCATCTACTTTCAATGATGAGGTAACTCAATGCTTATCTTCATTGTTGAAAGGCTAAATACCTAGATAGCCCCTTAAAGTTGGCACTTGTCACTTAAACACTTCGACTTAATTACTGACCATCTGAATATTTTTGCGCGACAAAAGCGTGTTTTGTGAACACCTGTGTCCATAAGACCAAGCAAGTGAAACACCCTTGCGGTGACGCGTCTAATGAACCAATCATTGACTGCTACATGTAACTTTTTAAGGAAAAAGGAATACAACATTGAAAAGAAAACAGAAAATAGTTCCCCCCTTCCCTTCCCCCACCCCATTCTAATCTACACTCCCCAATTAGGATGCTGAATTGAGGGTTAATTTTTTTCGTAAATGCAATTTTTAATGCATAAAGAAGAAGACAAATACAAACATCTACCAGGGGATAAATGTCTGCAAGCTGCTAGTCTAAAATGCAGGTTTTGAATATGAAATTAGTGAATCCTTCAAAGATGTATGGTTGTACGAGTTTCCAGAGCACTTCTTTCTCATTTCACATCCCCTGCACTCACCCCACTGCCAGCTTCTTTTCAGTTTTTCTGGCAGCTTCTTCTCATAAAAGTGAGGAAGAAGAAGGTTCTCATTGAAGGAGGAAGGAGGTGGTTGAAATTGCCTTGATCACAAAATTTGTAGGGAATTCACAAAGCTTGAGGCATGTCAAAGACACTGTCCTTAAGGATAATTTTACCCGGTTTGGGTGTATCCCCGGGATTCAACAAGCTCTTCTAGAATAAAACTAGGAGCAGAAACTAACAAAGATTCATTCTTGGTAGAAAATCTAGCAGAAGGAAAGGAAAGTATATTTTCTGTATACCTCACAAAAGGAAAGAATGTGCATATATATATATAGAGAGAGAGGTGAATGGAATCAAGTGGTTATAATGAGTGAGTAACGGTCTAACGGTTACAAATATGGAATAATGACCCATTATTGTATGAAATATTTTATAACAAATAATTTGTATAACTTTGAATTCAATTTTGTCAAAATGAATCTGATTGTTGAATGCCAATATAATTATGAGATTTAAACATTATTCTCTTGACAAAATCAACTGACTAATTAATAGTCCTAACGGTATTGACGTTTCCGTAATGTTTCAAAACGTCACATCCATGGCTTTTATTATGTTGGTATTTCTTATTATTTTGAAAAGCCTTAATGGCTTCCACAATTTCTCATCATGGAAAAAGTGAACTTTTCTTCTCATTTTCTTTTATTATGCTGGGTTTTCTTTTGTTTAATCTTTGTTGTTTCTAGTCCTAGTTTATACTAGAAGAGCTTGTTCAATCCTTACGAAAACGCTTAATTTTATTCATCACTGTGTGGGTGAAATATCTTGTCCTTGACACCCCTCAAGCTAACTTTTATTCTCCATAACGAATTTTTTACCACAGAAATGACC